CGCCCACAAACAATAAGGAAGGAATATGCTAATTGACTACCACACTCTCAAAGATGGAAGTGCCCACAGCCACAAGATGATGGCGCCCAATCTCCTCAGCCCCTCCAGGGCAGCAGACACACAGCATGGCCAAGCTCGCTCCCAGGTTGGTCCGGCCACTCCATGTGTCTGCCTCCAGAGTCCCCCAGTCCTTTCAGCCCCCTAGTCATCCAGGGCTGGCCAAAGCACAGGCAAGCCTCAGATGGCAGCTGCCCAGCCAGCCAAGACTTGTGCTGCTGGTAGTGGCAGCCACAGAGGTGTGATGGGGGCGTCACCTTCCCCTGATCACAAGGTCACCTCCCTTCCCTGAGAGCTCCTGGACTGTGAGATGGGACAGGCCAGGCTGAGGGACCCCCCTCCAATGCATGAATTTTTATGCACTGGGCCCCTAGTCTGTATATATAAAAGCCTAAGAAGCCATTACAACCGAACGACTGGTCGCTATGATACACACTGACCACCAGGGGTAGACACTCAATGCAGGAGCTGCTCCCTGGTGGTCAGTGCTCTTCCACAACCAACCTCCCATGGCTCCTCACTCCGGCCTGCAGGCCCTGAGCCAGAACGAAATTGAGGCTTGGTGGTAACAGACGTGGACCCTTTCCCAGAGGGGGCCGAAGGCTGGCTCCCTTGGAGCCAGTGGCCAACCTCCCATGCTCCATTCCTCCCCCCAGTTGGCAGGCCCCAGTTGGCCAGGCATCCATTTCTTCCACCAAAAGCTTTTCCCTAAGATCAGAAACAAGATAAGGATGCCCACTTTCTTATATATTTTTATTGATTTCAGAGAGGGTGAGGGAGAGATAGAAACATCAATGATGACAGAGAATCATTGATTGGCTGTCTCCTGTTTCTGATCCCGGGGAAAGCTTTTGGTCTTTCATCATCAGATATCACCAGCTCGGCCACCATCGTCTCCTCTCCCAACCCCACTGGGGCCTTCGTGCCCCAATCAGCCCGGCCCCGATCAGCCTGGCCCTGATCACCAGCCAGGCCTCGGGATCCCACCCATGCATGAATTTTGTGCACCAGGCCTCTCGTTTTTATATGTGGAGTAAGATAAGTTCCAAATTCATTCTTTTCTATGTGGTCATTCAGGTGATCCAGAACCTTTTTGTGAAGAGACTGTTCTTTCCCTTTTGTGTGGTCTTGGACTCTTGTCCAAAATCAGTTAGCCATAGATGTTTGGGTTTATTTCTGGACTCTATTCCATTCCATAAATCTGTATATCTATCTTTTGCCAATACCACACTGCTTTGATTATTGTAGCTTTATAGAAAGTTTTGAAATCTGGAAATATGGGTCCTCTGACTTTTTCAAAGTTCTTTGACTATTCAAGCTCCCTTGAAGTTACATATTAATTGAGGATTGGTTTTCAATTTCTGAAGAAAAGAAAAAGAAAAAAATCCATTGCAATTTTGATAGGGAATATACTAAATCTGCAGATAACTTTATAAATCATCATAATTTTAAGTCTTCAAGTTCAAGAACATGATGGCTTTCCATTTATTTAAGTGTTGTAATTGTGTACAAGTCTTTAACTTCCTTAGTTAAATTTATTCCTAGATATTTTTTTTTAATACTATCATAAGTGAAATTATTTTTTAAATTTCTTTTTTGGATTGATCATTGTTGCTATGTGTAAACACAATCAATTTTTGTGTGTTGGTGTTGTAACGTTGCTGAATTTATTTATTAGCTTTTGTAAATTTTTTAAAAAATGAATTTCATGTCTTTCCTATACATGAAATCCAGTCATCTTCAAAAAGAGATCATTTTACTTCTTTGTCTCCAATAGGGATACCTATTATTTCTCTTGCCTGATTGTGCTGGCTAGGACTTCTGATACATTGTTGAATAGCAGCAGCGAAAGTGGGCATCCTTGCCCTGGCCTGCTTGGCTCGGTGGATAGAGCGTCCATCTGCAGAATGAAGGGTCGCGGGTTCGATTCCAGTCAACAGCATATGCTTGGGTTGTGTCTTGATCCCCAGTGTGTGGTGTGCAGGAGCAGCCAATCAATGATTCTCTGTCATCACTGATGTTTCTATCTCTCTCTCACCCTCTCTGAAATCAATAAAAATATGTAAGAAAGAAAGTGGGCATCCGTGGCTTGTTTCTGATCTTAGGGGAAAGCTTTTGGTCTATCATCATTGACTATGTTAGGGTTTTTCATATATGCCCTTCATGTTAACGAAGTTCCCTTCTATTCCAAGTTCACTAAGTGTTCTTATCCTGAAACCATGTTAGATTTTTGTCAAATGTTTCTCTTCTACATCTATTAAGATGATTGTGTGGGACTCCTCCTTTCAATCTATTAATGTGGTATATTATACTGATTTGTTGAACCACCCTGAATTCTTAGGATAAAATCCCAGTTGGTTAAGGTATATAATTTTCTAAATGTACTGTAGAATTTATTTGCTAGTGTTGTTTTTTTTTTTGGTTTTTTTGTTTGTTTGTTTGTTTGTTTTTTAGAATTTTTGTGTGCGTATATTCATAAGAGAGATTGATTTGTAGTTTTCTTATGGTCTCTTTGTCTGACTTGGTATCAGGCTAATAATGCTGGCCTCTTAGAATGCGTTAAGTGTTTCCTTTTCTTTTTTTGAAGGAGTTTGAATAGGATTGATCTTAATTCTTTTTTTATGTTTTATAAAATTCACTGGTAAAACCATCTGGTTCTGGTTCTTTGGAGGTTTTTGATTACTAGTCCAATCTCTTGTAGGTCTGTTGAGATCTTCTGTTGTTTTTGTTTGTTTGTTTGTTTTGTTTGTTTTTAATCACTTGTTAATTAGGAATTTTTCTGTTTCATCTAAATTATTTAGTTTGTTTTGGCATATGATTATCTTATAAACCTCTTAATTTCCATAACTACTGGTAGTAGTTAGTATCCTTGTTCTCATTTCTGATTTTAGTTATTTGCATCTTCTCACCTTTATCCTTAGTCACTATCCAAGGTTTCTATATTTTGTTGATCTTTTCAGAAAACCAACTTTTGGTTTTGTTGATTATTTTTGTTTTGTTGATGCTTTTATCTGTGTTATTTACTTTGCTGGATTTGGGGTTTATTTGTGTGGGGGGTTGTTGTTTTTTTCTAGTTTCTTAAAGGTGTAATTGATTTTTTACTTATATTTTTTTAGAATATAAAGCAATGAATCTATCTTTTGAATATGTGGTTATTGTTAGTCCTTGGAAAGCTGTGGAGCTTCTCTATGATTTTGTAGAGGAAGGGTTTTGACTTTTCCCATCCTCTGCTTCAGGATGAGCTAATCTATTACTTTGAAGGGCTGGGACATTATACATTGTGTGATGGTGGTGGTGGTGATGGTGGAGGTCCTGAGGTTCGGAGGGAGATTGATTTATGTGTAATTTTCTTAGTAGCTCTTCTTTTTCTAACTCTTTTGCCTTCCTTTTGGATAAAGGACAAAATGTAAAACCTTGCCACTTACTCCTGCCCTGATACAGTACTGTTTGGCAATCAGGAGAAAGGGAATTTCAACTTTTTTTCCACATCTGTTCCCCTATCCTCACCCACCAAGTTGGTGGGTACCAGTAAAACTTTCTAAAGGTAGGCTACATACGGTTTCTGGAATTCCTCTTCAGTTCAGAGTAATTCATTCAACATCTGAATGATACCTAACAAAATTTCATGGTATGAGTTTGAGGTCATTTGGCCTGAGGATACTTTTAACTTTTTTTATTAATTCTGAAAACCTACATCTATGCCACTATCTTGTCTGGAAATCTCATAAGTACTAGAAAGAACTTTTAGGATTAAAAAAAGGCACTATTTAAACTTAAATAACATTCATCTTCAGTCTAGCTTTGGATCATTTCTGTGGAAAAAATGTATACGTTCAAAACTTGGCATAATGTTAAGTTACTTCCTCTAGGATGCTCTTTAAATGGCTAATATGTGATCTTTCAAACTTTCTTATTTAAAACTTCTATATGGATGCATGCATTTTCAGAACTTTGGCATTTTGTGGACTCTGTAAAATCTTCACACATTGCCCTCTCCTCCCAAACCCCACTTCCTCCCACCACACACACAGGAAATATTACATAGGTTTCCAATTTTTTATTTTGCTGAAATAGGACCTTAAAAATAGATCAAACAGTGAAAATAAGTAAACAAAAATAAATCAACACTGCCTCTCACCACAGTACCAAAGATATCCTATATAATGAAAGGCTAATATGCAAATCAACCAATTGGCAGAATGACCAGTCACTATGACATGCACTGACCAACAGGGGACAGATGATCAATGCAGGAGCTGCCCCCTGGTGGTCAGTGTACTCCCACAGGGGGAGCACCACGAAGCCAGAAGCCAGAAGCTGAGCTTATGGCTGGCAAGCACAGCAGTGGTAGTGGGTGCCCACCTCCGCAGCAATGCTAAGGACTCCTCGGAGGATGTCCACAGGGAGTGGGCCTAAGCTGGCAGGCGGACATCCCCTGAGAGGCTCTGGACTGCGAGAGGGCACAGACCAGGCTGAGGGACCCCATCCTCACCCTCAATGCACAAATGTCATGTACCAGGCCTCTAATCTATAATAATTCTATAATAATAAAAGCATAATTTGCTAATTAGACCAGAAGCTGGCGCTGCAAGGGAAGCCTGGTCCTGGGTGCCCGCCGGCAGCCTGAGGGAAGCCAGCGCCGGCAGCCAGGGGAGGAAGGCCTACTCTCCCACAAATTTCGTGCATTGGGCCTCTAGTAAATATAAATCTAGGAAGAGCACAATCTTGTAATATAGTCTTTGTTTAAATTGAATACATTTAGCTCTGGGCAAAACTCACTTTATTTTCCTCTTTAAAAAAAATTATTTAGCTATAAATTAATGAGTACTTTCTCATAGGTGACATTTAAGAACTGCTGCTTAATACTTGGAACAATACACTTATAAGAGGACTACCTGAATACCATGAATAGGCACATATCTCGTCTTCTGTTTTTTTACCAGTTCGGTCCTTTGGTACCGAAGACAGACCAACAGATCGTCCAATACCACCTCGAGATGAAGTCTTTGAATACATTATATTCCGTGGAAGTGATATTAAAGACCTCACTGTTTGTGAGCCGCCAAAACCACAATGTTCTTTGCCTCAGGACCCAGCTATCGTTCAGGTAACTGATAAGTTTGTCTTGGCGTTCAATTAAACTTGTTGCACATGGCTAGCTTGGCTTTTGCCATTGCTGTGTTTTCAGGTTTTGTTTGTTTCTCAGTTGAATGGCCACATATAGCTTATCGTTTTCTATTTCCCTAGATACCTAAAATACCTGGATAATGCTTCATCTAGGTTTTTCTCTCTAGATCATAAGAAACTAAATAAAGTCTGAAATAGCTAATAAATTTATTTTTATCATAAAATATTTTCTAATTTCAACATCAGTTAAAATGTTTATCAAGATCTAATTATATGAGAAGCCCTATTCAAACCACTACACATAAAAGTCAATCCTCGTACCACCCTTTTTTTGTGCTATGAGTGATAAAAATCTATTTCCCACAAATCAGATTTTTTTTTTTTTTTTAAGAGAGTCAGAAACATCGATGAGAGAGAAACACCAGTCAGCCGCCTCTTGCACACCTCCTACTGGGGATGTGCCCGCAACCAAGGCACATGCAACCAGAATCGAACCTGGAACCCTTCAGTCCGCTGACGCTCTATCCACTAAGCCAAACCAATTTCGGCACAAATCAGATTCTTGAAGTACATATTATCTTATACACAATTTGTCTCTTAGTTATTAAAAAGTGCCTCAGGAACTCTTCTAATATAAAATTAAAAGAGAAAAAAAGAAAAGAGACCTTTTAACATTTATTTACCACTCATTTTTCTTGAGTATAAGACAAGCTTTTTAATAAGAAATGGTAAATTTTATTCTTGTAATATAAACTAGAGAAATTATTTACTCTCATCCTCTCTCTTTTATTTTTTTTTTTATTGTTGAAAGTATTATTGGTGTCCCCTTTTTCCCCCCAATTGCCCATCTCCACCCAGTTTCCACCCCACCCCACACCTTTACCACCCTATTGTCTGTGTCCATAGGTAAAGCATATCCTATATAATAAAGGGGTAATATACAAATTGACCCTAATGGCAGAACAACCAGGAACAACCAGTCACTATGATGCACACTGACCACGCGGGGGCACACACTCAACATGCAACTGCCCCCTAGTGGTCAGTGTGCTCCCACAGGGGGAGCACCGCTCAGCTACAAGCTGGGCTGGCAGCTGGAGCGGTGGCAGGAGCCTCTCCTGCCTCCGGGGCAGCGCTAAGGATGTTCGAATGACAGCTTAGGCCCTCTTCCTGAGGGCTCCCGGACTTCAAAAGGGCATAGGTTGGGCTGACGGAACCTACCCCAGACCCCTGAGTGCACATGTCATGCATCAGGCCTCTAGTATCATATAAGATCTTTGAATATTCTCTCCTGGTCCCTCTCCCCACCTTCCCTCTGAGATTCCTCAGTCTGTTATTTTATATTTCAGTGCATCTTGATTCTATTTTATTCATCAGTTTATTTTGTTCATTAGATATTTTTGTTCATTTATTTTAATTTTTAGATTCAATGGTTGATTACCCTCTCCTTTTTAAGGCTTAAGTTTGAGGAAGTAAGTCTGTAGGAATCCTGAGATAATCTGTTTTCTTAAATGGAGGGAGAAAAGACACATTCTAATAGAAATAGCTGCCCTCACTGGCAATTTTCAATTGGTCTGCAACAAGAATTGTTAAAACTTGAAATACCTGACTATTTACCCAATTTCCCCCTCCCTGCTGACCTGGTTGCCCCTAACTGGGTCTCCCCCAACCCCCACCAGAGTGTTCGCCCCCAACTGCCCCACTGCTGGCCTGGTCATTTCTTACTAACCCCCCTGCCAACCTGGTCACCCCACGCAGCCTGCTGTTCAGTTATTTGGTCATCCCTCAGTAACCAACCCCCCCTGCCGCCCTGGTTGCCCCACACAGCCTGCTTGTTCATTTGTTTGGTCGTCCCTCACTAACCCCCCTGCCAGCCTGCTTGTAGGCAGCCATAGGGTTAATTTGCATATTACATCTTTATACTCTAGGATACTAGGGTCCCAGTGGCACAAAATTCATGCATGGGTAGGGTCCCTAGGCCTGGCCGGCAATTAGGGCCAATCAGGGCCTTCCTTTGTTCTCGCCACACCGTGGTAGTTTGCACATGTCATAGCCAGTGATCAGTCTCCTAGTAAAACTTCCACAGGGACAATTGCATTTAGGCTTTTATGGATGGATGGATGGATGGATGGATGGATGGATGGATGATTGACAGATAGATAGATAGATAGATGATAGCTTTTGATAATTCTCCTGGGAACCAGTTATTTAAGTAATCAGCCTTATGGAATGAGAAAAATCAAAGAGAACTCAAATCAAATGGTATTGAATTGGATCCTTTTTTTTGTTTTTTTTCTTTTTTTCTTTAATTTCAGAGAGGAAGGGAAAGAGAGATAGAAACATCAGTGAATAGAGAATCATCCACCGGCTGCCTCCTGCATGCCCCCTACTGGGGATCGAGCCTGCAATCCAGGCATATACCCATCCAGAAATAGAACCATGATCTCCTAATTCATAGGTTGATGCTCCACCATTGAGCATCACTGGTCAGGCATCTTTTGAACTTTATTTTTTTTAATATATTTTTATTGCTTTCAGAGAGGAAGGGAGAGAAAAATAGAAACATCATTGATGAGAGAGAATCATTGATTGGCTGCCTCTTGCACGCCCCCCACTGGGGACCGAGCCCAAAACCCAGGCATGTACCCTTGACCAGAATCAAACCAGGGACCCTTCAGTTCGTAGGCCAGCCCTTCGTCCACTGAGTCAAACAAACCAGGTCAATTTTTGAACTTTTAACCCTTTGCACTCCGCTGTCCCCTCTCAGGGGACATCGGAATTTTAGCATATCATTCGGATGTCCCCTCTCAGGGGACATTGCAATTTATTAGTGATTACGGGGAATTGAGTTAATTCAACGCATGTTTCCGCCGCAAAGTAGCGTCGAGTAGCTGGTAGCCAATGTCCAGAATGGTTTGGAGTGCAAAGGGTTAATTCATTCTTTCAATAGTATTTATTGAGCACCTACCCTGTTTCCCCGAAAATAAGACAGTGTCTTATATTAATTTTTGCTCCCAAAGATGCGCTAGGTCTTATTTTCAGGGGGTGTCTTATTTTTCCATGAAGAAGAATACGGTACACATTTATTGTTAAATGAAAATAAAGGAAATTTATTACCTGTGTATGGTATAGTAGTACGGTAGTTGTCAACACAAACCAGACAAACTGTGAATCCTACAGTATCAAGAATTTACTTATTTATTCAATGACAGTCATGTCATCATCATCTGGAACATCATCATAACAATCCAATTCCTGAATTTCATGGTGAATTTCTTGTGACCATTTCTTTCAGAATCAGTGGACCAAATCTCTCATGTTTAGCCTAAAGGGGGCCTTATTTTGGGGGGATGCCTTATATTTCACTCAGAAGGAAACCTGTAAGTAGGTCTTATTTTCGGAGGATGTCTTATTTTCAGGGAAACACGGTACCATGTGCCTGGTACTAGCAGTGAATACACAGACAAGTCCTACCATCAGTGAGCTTATATGCCAGTAGTTGTTATTATACTTCATATTTATATTATGAAACTAGAGGTCCAGTGCATGAAAATTTATGCACTGGAGGGTGGTCCCTCAGCCTGGCAATCAGGAGAGGGCAACTCCCCATCACATCTCTGCTGCTGCCTCTGCCGGCAGCACAAAGCCTTGGCAAGCTCTGGTTACCTGAGCCTCAGGTGGCCCTGGGTGGCTGGGCAGCCAACATCCAAGGCTTGCCTGCACCTTGGGCTGGCCCTATGGGCTGGGAAGCTGACATCTGAGGCCTGCACCTAAGGCTTCAGCTGGGCAGCCAACATCCAAAGTTTGCCTGTGCCTTGGGCTGGCCCTGGGTGGCTGGGCAGCTGCTATCTGAGGCTTGCCTGCGCCTCAGGCCGGCCCTGGGTGACTGAGGGGACTGGGGGACTCTGCAGGCAAGCACCCCAGCAGGATTGAAGGGACTGGGTGTCGCCATCTTTGAGGGCATGGCACTCAATTAACATATTCTCTCCTTATTGGCTGTGGGTGTTGCCATATTTGAGGGTGGGACAGTCAGTTAACATATTTCCTCCTTACTGGCTGTGGGCGCCACCATTTTGCAATGGCATGAGGGTCAATTAGCATATTCCCTCTTTGTTAGGTAGGATATTTTATATTAAGATAAATTCATATTATAAATATAAATGTTTGTGTATCTGCCAAAACCGGTTTGGCTCAGAGGATTGAGCATCAACCTGCGGACTGAAGGGTCCCAGGTTCGATTCCGGTGAAGGGCATGTACCTTGATTGCGGGCACATCTCCAGTAGGGGGTGTGCAGGAGGCGGCTGATTTATGATTCTCTCTCTCTATCCCTCTCTCTTCCTCTCTATAAAAAATCAATAAGATATATATATATTTTTTTAAAGTCATCAGTAAAATGTTAAATAAATAAATGTTTGTGTATCTATATATTTAATTATATTTCAGGTTATGTTTTTGTTTTTGTTTTTTAATATATTTTTTATTGATTTTTCACAGAGAGGAAGAGAGAGGGATAGAGAGTTAGAAACATTGATGAGAGAGAATCATCGATTAGCTGCCTCTTGCACGCCCCCTTCTGGGGATGTGCCCGCAACAAGGTACATGCCCTCGACCGGAATCGAACCCGGGACCTTTCAGTCCACAGACCAATGCTCTATCCACTGAGCCAAACCGGTCCCGGTATCAGGTTATGTTTAAAAATTAAATTTTTGTGTGGAATACTTTGTTTTTCCATCTCTTTCTGTAAATTTAATATTGCACTTCACATGATAGGAAATAAGAGTAAATGCAAAAGTGAGATGTCTTATTTGTCAACATGGATTTAAAACTCAATATAACCAAGTATGACTTTTCATGTTTTTTCCCTTTAAGCAGTTATTTTACTTGATAGCCACGTAACTTTTCTTCAGTTTTTTCCTAAATCTGCTATAAAACTCTTTACTCAAAGGAGGAGGTTATTGTAGAAAAAAAGTATATATCATGAGTATAAAATTAGCACATATAGCCCTTGAACAACACAGAATTTGGAGGTGCCAACCCTCACACAATAAAACATCCATGTTTATTTTTTTTAACTTCTATTCTGCAAAAGATACTTTTTTTTTTTTTTAAATCCTCACCTTAGGATATGTTGTTTTCTTTTTTCATTGATTTTAGAGCAAGGGGGGGAGAGAGAGAGAGAGAAACATCATCAATCAGTTGCCTCCTATATGTCCCTCTACCATGAATCGAACCTGCAACCTTTTGGTGTATAGCAAGCATATCATACTCATGGCCACATGCCTCATTTATTTGGCCTGTGTTAGCCTTTGAATTTGACATGGTTGGTGTTCAAGATGATACTCCAGCCAACTGAACCTCTATCCAGGGCCACATGTAACTTCCGATTCCCCAAAACTTAGCCATAGTTGTTTCTTAGATTGTGCGGGTTATTGGTTCGAGGACTGTCTATAGATACCAAAATCTGTGGATGCTCAAGTCCTTTATATAAAATGGTGTATAACAACATATACAATAAACCCTCTCCATTTATTGAGTACTGACTATATTGAAAAAAATTCACATATAAATGAACCCTCGCAGTTCAAACCTGTGTTGTTCTAGGGTCAGCTAGGTACACAAATAGTGAAGTCAGATTATTCAACTGTTTTAATGTTAAATGCATGTTATAAGATTATAATTGCTGTTGTGTCTAGTAGTTATAATTTAATAGTTTTCTTAGAAGTGTAAATATTCAAATTTCTTTTTATTATATGTATGTTGTTTAAAGTTTGAAAAAAATAACCCATGGTTTTTCTTCAGTCTTCACTAGGTTCATCTACTTCTTCATTCCAGTCAGTGGGTTCCTATGGACCTTTTGGCAGGATGTCGACATACAGTCAGTTCAGTCCAAGTTCATTAGTCGGGCAGCAATTTGGTGCTGTTGGTGTTGGTATGTTTTTCTTTTCTTTTTTTATAACCATGTGTTTTTAGACCTTGTTTGATATTCTTTTTGCAGCCTGTTACTGTATTTTAAAGGCTTTATTTAATGTCCTCATTGGCCAGTGATTCTAAAATGGTCATCTCTTGGCCCCGGCAAGGTAGCTCAGTTGGTTAGAATATCATCTCAATGTGCCACAGTTGTGGTCCAGTCAGGGCACATACAATAATTAACCATTGAATGCATAAATAAGTGAAACAACAAAATTGATACTTCTCTTTCTCTCTTTTCCTCTCTCACTTTTGACTCCCTCCCTCCCTCCCTTCTTCCTTCTTTAAAATCAATAAATAAAATGGTCATTTCAAAAGAGTCACTTTTAAAAAACACAAAAACCTGGATATATCCAATGATTAGATTTCATTTAATATTATTTTAAGTTTACATAAGATATATACATTTAAAATAAATTTGTTGTTGTTTTGTTTTTGTTTTTAAATATATTTTATTGATTTTGTACAGAGAAGAAGGGAGAGAGATAGAGAGTTAGAAACATCGATGAGAGAGAGTCATCGATCAGCTGCCTCTTGCACACCCCCAACCGGAGATATGCCCGCAACCAAGGCACATGCCCTTGACCGGAATCGAACCCGGGACCCTTCAGTCCCCAAGCTGACGCTCTGTTCATTGAGCCAAACCAGTCTCGGCCCATGCTCTTTTTTAACAGAAAAATGCCAGCTAATAAAAAGTAAGGAATGATAATAGAAAATCACCATTTAATAATTAGCAGCACTATTATCAGTGGATGCTAAAATCATTGAGTGAATAGTATTGAAACAGTATATTAAAATGGCCTTAAGGTAGGTATTCAACCCACAATTTACTTTCTAATTACAGGGGGGGAAGGGAGGAGTGTTGTGCCTTTGTAATGGAACTTAGAGGCCTAGTGCATGGGATTCATACACTGGTGGTGGGGCAGGGTTGTGACCTGTGGGGCTCAGCCTGCTGTGGGAGCACTGCTCATCCCAGTCAGCGTAGCAGCTGTGGGCCCACCCTCTGAGCGGCTGCTCCTTGGTCCAAAATCTTACATGGAGCTGGAGCACTCACCTCTCTAAGAGACCTGGTTGGGGCCAGGCCCAGGAAAAAATAGCACTTAGAGGCAGCAGAGTAGGCCTGAGTCTGTGGCAGCCACAAACTGCCTCCCAGCCTGCTGGGAAAGTCCTGCAAGCCCAGCAGCAGCCTGCGGGCTTCCAGAGGAGGCTGCAGGGAGTGAGGAGGAGGAGCCTGGGGTGAGGAGGCGAAAATCAACCGCAGTCAATCGCAGCCAGGTTCTTGCCCAGCGGCCTGAGGTTCGCAGTCAGCAGCCCGAGGTTTTCAGTGGGAGCCACTCCTCATTACAGTCAGCTAAGTGACACTCCCACTATGGTAGCACACGGACCACCAGGGGGCAGCTCCTGCATTGAGCATCTGCCTCTTGGTGGTCAGTATGTATCATAATGACTGGTCTACCGGTTGTTCTGGTTGTTCAGGCATTACATCGCTGGGCTTTTATTATATAGAATGTTATATAGGATGATTTGGTAGTCACCATCTTAATCAGATTTTCAAGTTTGACATTGCCGTAGTTAAATAATTAAATCTCACTGGATGTAATGATATAGGGCAGGGGTCTGCAACCTTTAAGACATAAAGAGCCACTTGGGGGGAGGATCCAAGATGGCTGCTCGGGTAGACATCTAGCCGCGGCAGCACACAACAATTTCAATGGAATACAACTAAAATGTAGAGTGGACATTGCCCAGAGCTACAGGTAGTCGACTGACTGAAATTTCTACAACAAGAAGGAAAGAGAAAACCAGAAAGAAAATCAGAGGAGCTGAAAAAAAGCCTAAGGTACGGAGACATGCTGCGCGCGCGTGCCCGCCCACACGCGCGCACGGAGAGGTCGCAGCCGGAGAGGAGGAGAGGGCGGGGAGCAGCCTTTCCTTCCCTAGCAGGAAGGAAATAAAACCCCCAGCCTGGGCTGAACCCCCGAACCGGCAGCGCTGAGCCCCCCCGAACCGGCAGCGCTGAGCCCCAGTTATGGGCCAGACCCTGGGGACCCAGGCTCCGGCGGGAGGAGACAGGGCCGTGAGGCGGAAAAACGGCGAAAGGCAGGGCCCCGGGAGTCGCGCGTAATGCGCGCAGAGGACTGAATGTTGACTCTGATGCTGGGTTGCCCTAGCCGGAAGAAACAAGGCCTCTGGCGGAGTTGGGCCTCAGTCCAGACTGCTCCGAACCCCAGTTCTGGGCCAATCCCTGGGGACCCAGGCTAAGGCAGAGGGAGACGGGGCTGTGAGGTGGAGTCCGGGGAGAGCGGCGAAAGGCCGGGCCCCCGGGACTCGCGCAAACTTCGCGCAGAGGACAGTCTGTGGGACTCGCGCAAACTGAGCGCAGAGGACAATCTGTTGACTCTGATGCTGGACTTCGCTAGCGGGAAGGAGAAAAAAAAAGCTCTAGGCTGGGGGAACGCGGAGGGGAGCGGAAGCCCCTGCCGGACTCCAGCCAACCGGGCACGAGCAAGGAGGCGGGCCACGGGGCCCCTGGGGGCGTGGGTGCCCCTGAGCCTTTGACCACTGAGCTCGGGCAATGGAGCCAAGGCCGGGGGCTGCTTCCTGGGCGGCGCCGTCCCGGCAACAGGCTGAAGCAGCACAGGAGCCCGCGGAGAACAAAGGGGTGCCACAGGCCAACCTGCTGAGCTCCCAGGACAAGGAGGAAGAAACCAAAGAAGTTCTCAATGTGAAGAAATCAAGTGAGAGCAAAAAATAGTAAAATTACTTAAGAAAGAATACAAAGAAGATCTTGAAAAATCAAAGACTAAGTCAGAACTCAACTCACCAGCCAACATTGCAACATAAATGCGTTTTAAAAAGAAAAAAAAAGGACAGAATGTTGGAACAGTGACGGCCAGGCCCCAGAACAACAGCAGCCAGAACCAGAGCATCAACAGCCAGCACTGGAGTGGCCAGACCTGGGGCAGTGGCAGCCAGGCATGAGGCGGAGGCGGCCAAGCCCAGGGTGGCCAGTCCAGGAACACCCAGACCCCGGAGTGGCCGGGCCGGAAGAAGCTGGGCCCAGAGCAGCCGGGGTGGGAGCAGCCAGACCCAGAACAGCAGTAGCCAAGCCCAGAGCATCCAGGTTGGGAGTGGCCAGGCTCGGAGCGGCCGGGCCCGGGGCAGCCGGGCCCAGAGCAGCCGGGTCAGGTGCGGCCAGGCCCGGAGCAGCAGCTGCCAGGCTGGGAGCGGCCAGGCCCGGGGGAGCAGTCGGGTCGGGTGCGGCCAGGCCCGGAGCAGCGGCTGCCAGGCTGGGAGCGGCCAGGCCCGGGGGAGCAGGCGGGTCGGGTGCGGCCATGCCCGGAGCAGCGGCTGCCAGGCTGGGAGCGGCCAGGCTCGGGGGAGCAGGCGGGGCTGGTGCGGCCAGGCCCGGAGCAGCGGCTGCCAGGCTGGGAGCGGCCAGGCCCGGGGGAGCAGGCGGGTCGGGTGCGGCCAGGCCCGGAGCAGCGGCTGCCAGGCTGGGAGCGGCCAGGCCCGGGGGAGCAGGCGGGTCGGGTGCGGCCAGGCCCGGAGCAGCGGCTGCCAGGCTGGGAGCGGCCAGGCCCGGGGGAGCAGGCGGGGCTGGTGCGGCCGGGCCCGGAGCAGCGGCTGCCAGGCTGGGAGCGGCCAGGCCCGGGGGAGCAGGCGGGTCGGGTGCGGCCAGGCCCGGAGCAGCGGCTGCCAGGCTGGGAGCGGCCAGGCCCGGAGCAGCAGCAGCCAAGTCCAGAGCAACTAGGTCGGGAGCAGCAGTGACCAGACCCGGAGCAGCTGGTTGTGGAATGAACCAGAGCAACAGAGGCCAGGCCCTGAGCAGCCAGGCCCAGAACAGCTCGCTCCTTGCCTGCCCCTGCCCCACGGCTGCTTCTCAGACATGGCTGGAAACTTTCGTGGGAACTTGAGGGTCTGCTGAATCAAGTGATGAAGGCTTAGATCTGGATGTGTTGAGTTAGTTTAGGACTGGGGTGTTGATCTGTGAGTGCCTTGGGTGGGGCCTGGATGAGGCTGGTTGACCTAGTGGGAAATGTCTTTTGTGTGAAGTGTATCATTGGGCATGTGGAGGTATTATTGATATGAGAAAATGCTAAGTAACTGATTTACTATCTGAAAAGGGATTTACTATTGGGGAAATTGAGGGAAGAAGAGACTGAACATAAACTGCACCTATGGATGAGGACAATGGGGGAAAGCGGGGGGGGGACGGAGGGTGGGGTGGGAACCTGGTGGAGGGGGGAAGAAATGAGGAACCTTTGTAATAATATGAACAATAAAGATTGATTTAAAAAAATAAATAAATAAAAAATAAAATTGCAAATACAAAAAAAAAAAAAAAAAAAAAGAGCCACTTGGACCCGTTTCCGAAGGAAAAAAAAAACCTGGGAGCCGCAAAACCATTGTGACATTTAAAACAAATATAACACTGCATATATTGTTTCTTACCTTAATGCTATATACAGGATCCTGCAGTTAGCTGTCAATCTGAAGAAAAAAAGGACATTTTCACTTAACAATGTAAAATATATTTTTGCAAATTAATAGCTAATTAAAATATTTAATTTACCTGATTAATGGGATTTTTGCTCCTGAACCTCAGTGCACAGTGTCTGCACATCAGGGCTGTAAGACGTTACCTTCATTTTCACACAGGCTTGCAAGTTGTCTTCTGTGAGGCGTGATCAATGTTTGTTTTTAATATAGTTCATGTTGGAGAAGACCTGCTCGCATACATATGTGGAGCCGAAGATCAACAGGAGTCCAAATGCATACTTTTTCTATGTTTATATAAGTGTTGGGGATGGCATTCCATGTTTCGAATACAAGTTTGTCCTGTTTGGGAAGGTTTTCAGTATCACTCCATTTAAGATTCTGAGCCAAAATGGCCTTCTAAGGGGCAACATCCTCAAGAGTAGCTGTCAAGCATTTGAACTTGGACACCCATATATCTTG